ATATACATTTTTACAAGCATGTTACTATACCTACATTTATGGTTTTATTTCTAATCCCAGCCTGCTTCTCCTCTAATCGTTTTCATCGGCCTGCACCTGTATGACGTGCCTGCGAAAATGCTCATATGGTTTTTCCTTCTTTAGCAAATTTATTATTAGGGAAAATTACTTAGCGGAAATTAACTGGATTTAGGATTTTCGTAACAATATATTTCGAATCCCTGATTGAATGCAATTATGCGGTCCTGTATATATATTTACAAGGCTTTTAGAGACATATTTCAACACATTCCCTCACGTTTGACTAACCTAATCAAAAGGAAATTTTTTTTTTTTTTTTTTTTGGAAGAGAATGCAAAGATTTTTATAAGTAATTTTTTCAATTCGCTTGATGAAGATTTTAAAAGGCAATGATTTGAGAGTTTGAGAGTTTATCGTCGTCGATTTTGAAAGAGAGCCGAAATAGAATATATGTGCATTCCTAATAGAACCAAATGCCTCTATGGGCATACACGTGAACTTTTTTGCCTCACTGTATATAAATTATAAAAATAAATGTTTTTTTTACCTGCTTTTTCTATCTATAGACAAAACAATTTCTCTTAACGCCTTCACATTGTGAAAGATTATATGAAAGCATGTAAAGGTATATATATATATAGATATGTTACATTATATTATTTCTCTATAAAAACATAACAAATAAAGACTTTTTCTGATATAAAAAGCGAGAAAAGGTGAATGAAGAAGGATGAGTGGCAATATAAATATTAAATTTTACTTTTCTTTTATTGTATAAAAGTAAATAAAATATTTTATACCTTAACCCGGGAGAAGGTATAATAAAGAGAAAGGGGCGCTGTTCAATTTTAACAATTTTATCGCCGAGTTATCGAACGAGCATTGAAATATTGCGGCAATTTATTCATGTCAATGCCTAAGTCCGTCTGAATTCCTGCACCCAAAATTTTCTCGTGCATTCTTAGTTATCTTTACGTATATCGGATATGGTTCGCGATATAATATCTCTATACAAATACGCTTAGGAGAGGGCAAACTAATAACCTCTTGGCTTAGACGAAAGTGTTAACGCATTTTAATCAATCTTGACTTAGTTGACAGGGTTAACGTATTTCAATCAAAAAGTTAATTACTTGTATATTCACATGTGCTTATTACACAATCTAAATCAATAATATTTGAAAATTTCTCTCTCGATCCTAATTGATTGATGGATGGCCAATAGCAGCAGCAGCAGTCTGGTTGCACTTTTGCATATGCTTTTTGTATTCTGCGGCACTTATGGCACATGTGGTACAGTGTATATGCAGATGTGTTTATAGCATCCAAAAGGACTTAAGATAGATCTATCTTTTATCTCTCATACCGATCGATTAAGAATCATTTTGTGAATCTTATTGCACTTATTGCCAACATCGACAAAGTTTGATACACTGACGAACGAAATACGAAGTTCATTGAAATTGGATTGGATCGGATAATTTTTACAGCCACTCTCCATTTAATGATTTATTTTGGGGAAACTCATTAGGTGAAAAAAATTTGAAATTTTTAAAATATTTCCGCAAAAATTACTGAATAATAGTATTTCGGAAATTGGATCGGATGAGCCGCCGATTTTTTCAATCACAACAGATAACTGTTTATATGGCAAGAAAGTGTAATTGAACATAGTCTGAATAACCATCAAACATGATCCATGATTTTTCGAATCTCATTCCCGGTTAGAATTAAAAAAAAAAAAAAAGATTTGATTTTTAATTTTACCCATCACCGATGGATGATGATGATGGGATATATTCATTTGGTCAAAAGGTTTGCAATGCCCAGAAGAAACATGCAGTGATCCCACAAAGTTTATATATATATATATATATATATATATATATTCTTGATCAGCATTAAATTCTGAATCGATTTAAGAATGTTCGTTTGTCTGTGCGTGTAATGTCTGTTGTAAACGTTCTTCTGGCCGCAGAAACGAAACTGAAGAAATATTGGAAGTCCTTGGACGCAGGTTGTTATTGAATCAATCGGCTCAATCGGTCGAAGGACAGATAAACTGACAACACCTCTGTTTTTCAAAAGTAATAAAGACTTGGTTTTATTGCCCATTACTTATATTAACGGTCGTACCTATATGAAAATGGAAAAAAATTTAATTTTATTTTCAATAGGTTTACAACCCGCAGAAATAAGCTTGAAACACCCCATTAAATATATACATTCTTGGGTAATTTCGTCGGCTCGTCTGTCCACCTGTGCGTCCGCCCAATTGTGCAGCATCTGAAGCAACAATTATCCCGTTCCAAAAGAACTTGGAGATGACTTAAACTTTCCCAAGGATACGCCTACAACGCCCACACTCCTATACGACAAACACTTTTATTTTAAAGACAAAAAAAAAAAATCAGCCTCGCGCAATGCATATGACAGAGGATGAAAATTTTATTTTTTTGTTTTTGTCTTCTTTAAGATGACGATGATGACGTTATAAAAGATTCGGTCACGATCGAATGTAATTTTCTTCCATGTTACTGTCGTGAAAACTGCGAAGAGACGTCGCAGAGAAGTTGACAAGTACTCATCGACGAAGTAATGTCTTTTCTTCTAAAAAATGGTCCTAAAAGCCATATTCGTATACATACTTAGCTTTAGCTTTGTTTAAACTTTGTGCAAAAGTATATATATATATATAATATTTTTTTACTATTATAAGGAGAAATAAATTAAGAGGTATGAAAAAGGTATAAGTAATACATAAAATGTAACAAAGCGATTGTTGTGTAAAAAGATGAGACGTGGGACGAGACACTGAAGAAGAAGTATCGGCCTCCTGCATGCAACAACATTTGATGCCTTAAAGTCTGATATAAAATATAATTTTTTTCTCTTCTCCGTTTTACTTTGTTTTTTCTTTTTCTTTTTTATTATTATTATTTTTCAAATAATTTTTTCTATTTTCGCCTTTTGGCTCTTGCCAACATTCCGTTCAAATGCACCTTATCTTTTGCCACAATGGCTACCTATATATACATGTAAACACCTTGACCCTCTTGACATCATATTTGATACTTTTCTGCGTTCGTTTCATCGCATTTATATAAAAAAGACAAGCAAAAGAAATCCGCAGTGTATTTGTATTTTTCTACTTTTAAAAGTAAACTATATATATAAGAAAACAATTAAGAAAATTAAATTCGGTTGTTAACGAATCTTCTATACCTGTCGCCATTCTCCTAGAATGACATAAATAGTAAAAGATGTCAATTTCCATGCTCTACAATATGCAATGGGTGCGGCTGAGTTTTTCGCGCATAGGCATGTGAGCGTTGTAGGCGTGTCCTTTGAAAACTCTTCACGTCACATTCTCAAACTCTTTTCCAAATTCGTAGACGATATCACAGATACTACAGGTACAGTTGATCATCACGAGCAAATGAACCTTTGGAAAAACAAAAGCGTTCTCAGTTTACGTGGCAGAGTAAGCGTGTCCTTCGACTGATTTAGCCCATTTTCAACATCAATATACGAGTAAAAAATTCCTATGCTTTTGCTAAATTTGAAGACGATAGCTTCAATTTTGCGGCCGGGAGAGAGTTTACAATGGACATTACACATATCGACAGTCGGACAGACGGACAGACGGATATTCTTAAATTAATTTAGAATTTGATCCTGATCGAGAATAATATATGCTTTATGCGGTCTCTGATGCTTTCTTGTGCTTGTGGGTGTTGCAGACGTTTTAACCAAATGAATATATTACCTTATTCTTTGGTGATGGGCGTAAAAATGATAAACAAACTTATAGGCGAATAATAAAGAGATTTTTACTTTTTGCTAGAATTAAAAAAAAGAAGAAAATCGAAGTTTTTAAATAATCAGAATAATTTCTATTGTTTTGCATTTTAAAGCTTCTTTTTTTTTTTTTTTTTTTTTTATTATTGTACTCCAAGCATTAAGGTCTCGCTTCGAAGATGATGCAATCAAATTAAAGCTTCCTCATCAGAATACACTTCACTTTCACTGCAATGATATTAGCATCATTTGATCCAAAGCTATTTCTCTAAGAGCATCCTTTTGAGATTTGCAAGCCGATAATGATCGCTAGATGCCAAACCTGAAGAATATGACGGGTAAAGGCAGCAATTCATGCTCGAGACACTATGCATTTTTTTTTTTTTTTTTGCAATTTTGAAGATATTTTGATCAAATTTGATACACCGACGCGGTTTGGCCTAACAACGGATGACGTCTTGAAAATAGCAGACCACTTTTTCGAACACTTTACATATAACGAGTCGTAATATAACGACAGTATTTTTTAATATACAATAACAGTATTAAGCGTGGCAAGGATGTGAATATAAATTCGAATTGACAGCGCAGCACAGACAGGCTCTGCAAACGGCCTAACAGGGCTCTGTTACGCTGTTCAGAATAAGCTATAGCTGGATTTGAGAGCCTACTCCGTTCAATAAGGCGTTCGAATGAGCTGAGCAAAAGTGAAACTTTTCTTTCCACAACTATTTTTAACAACGACAAAAACGACTAGAAATAATTTCGTTGCGCTACAATCTTAAATTTATTTAGTTTTCAATGGCCTGGTTATGTGCTAACATATCAAATTTCTTAGCCGAAGCGAGATGTTCATGTGATCTGGAAATATGTTTAAGTTAAACTGAGATAATATCAATTACAAGAAATCAAGGGGCAAAGTTTTCATCTTCTTATCTGCTTTATGATATGAAATCGCAAGCGAGACTAGCAAAATAAGAAAGAGAAAGAAATTTCGTTTCGTAAATTGTCCGTAATTCTCTATAGTATGAAAACTTTCCTATGATCGATCGGTTTATTCACCTTTCACTCTCTATCGACGGTGAGACGGTACGTTATCAGTAAAATAGCAATGGCAAGCAAGTTTCTTTTATTTATTTCTTTAATAATTTTCTCTTTCTTAATCTGCTATTTAACAGAAAGAATTACACATTGAGGCGGTGGCGGTAGGTGCTATATTGTCCGATTATCAGCGTGTAAGAGTGGAAAATGTATGCAATCGCTTGTCGTTGATGTCATTGGCCTATCTATGGAGGAGAGATCAGACTGAATTGCTTCAGGAAATGATCGATTGTCAAGTGCATGCGATTTTAATAAAAGTCAGTGAAATGATAATAATTGTTTTAAGATAATCAATCAAATATTAATGAATTCTTTCTATAAGGTGGCCAGTCTAGGTTTAGTTCCTGATCGTCATTTAGGTAAATCCCTACACGAAATTCAACCGCATTTATTAAAAATGCGTGATAAATACGGTTTAAATGTATGCGGGGAAGGTGGAGAATATGAGACTTTTACTTTGGATTGTCCACTATTTAAGCAACGTATTGTTATGTAAGTAAAAAATTGTTTTCCCATACGATAATTTCTCATTTATTTTTAAAATAAATTATAAAACAAAATTTAGTGACGATATACAAACTGTGATTAGTTCGGCCGATCCGATATGCCCGGTGGGTTATATAAATTTCACTAAACTCTCCTTACAACCCAAAGACATGCAACAGAGCTGTGATGTAATTGTGAAAAAGTCGCTTGACTATATAAGTGACCTCAATGAATCCACCTATAGTGACCTCAGCGATCCGGATCTTAGTGAAACCGAATTGGAATTGATTGAGAAAGAAACACGTTTACGCGAATCGTTGAGTCAAAATGAATTGATATCGCGTAGCAATTCGTTTGGACGACATCTGGCCACCTCAACCTCGCCTATACCGATTGTCACGAAGAGCGCAAGTGTCGACGAACATACACCGTTAAATTTGCTCTCCTCGTCGGCTGCTCTGTGTGCTGCCTCTCTCCATGCCGGCACCTTTGGCTCACCACGTCTATTGGGCAGTAGCACAGCAGCAGTTTGTGGTAGTCTATCGTTAGCCGTTTCATCGATAGGCTTATCAGCAATTGGTACTACGCTTGGGAAAGATGGTGGGATGTCGTCCGCAACTGTCGGTGGTGGAAACGGTGGAGGAACTTTGATTTTTACTCAACCTCCTAGCCCTTTAAAATATGAAAGAGAATTCCATCCACTCAATAATCGGGCTATGGTGGCCATTAACTGTAAAGGTTGGATTTGGGTGGCAGGTATACAAGGTATACAATCTAAAAACCAAATTCGATGTCTTCGATAAGCCTTTAAAATTAATACCTACACAGGTTGTGCCTCAACCCTTGAAGAAGGTTTTACAAAAGCTTTAGACTCCCTACGCACTTTGGCAATAGAACATAATTATGAAATGACTGACTATTGTTATGTAACACTGTATGTACGTTCAATATCGGAATATCCAGTTCTAAACCGTATCTACGGTCAAGCGTTAAATTTTCAAAATCCTCCGACACGCGTTTGCGTTGAATGTCCATTACCAGATGAATGCCACGTTATTATCGAAGCTATAGCTTATAAAAAGCCACAACGCGGACGCAGATCTACAATCTCTGTAAATGATACCGACGGTAAGAGTAAATTATCGACAAAATCACTACCATACAAACGATTTCCGTTTCAGTATCAAATGAAAATCAACAAGCACAAAATACTTCCATCAATAATGGGGAATTACCTAACAAACGTAACACTATGCACGTACAGAGCATATCACATTGGGCTCCCGCCAACATAGGGCCCTATAGTCAATCGACAAAAGTAAGCAAAATCAAAATCAAAATCAGTTTAAGCAGCTGCTGCCTTCCCATTTCACTTTCTTCTTGTTTCATGAATTTAGATCAATGAAATCACATATATATCTGGACAAATAGCTCTTGTACCTGGCAGCATGACAATAATTGATGGCGGCATACGACCACAATGTAAGCTCACCTTACGTCATATATCGCGCATAGCCAAAGCGATGAATGCTCAAGGTCAGCTACGCGATGTGGTGCATGGCATTTGTTTTATTACACATCCGGCTTTTATCGGCGAAGCGCGACGTCAATGGGAACGTCGCACTACCAATGCCATTATGGATTATATAGTGGTGCCGGCTTTGCCACGTGAAGCATTAGTAGAATGGCAAGTGTGGGCACACACTCACAATGATCGCTTTGAATGTAAGTATCGCTAACAGCATAATAGCATAAATATATATATATATATATATATATATGAAAGTCTATCTTAATTTATTTATGGCTAATATACAGACGAAGAGACTGGTTGCTCTATAAGCGATTATACAATATCGATACGACGCCGTTGGAATTACGAGAATAACTGCGCTGCCATTATATGTTATGTGTCAACAGGTAATTATATAACACCTACTTGATTAATAATGCAGCGTTTAGGACGCCATACAAGAAGATTACGAAAAGATGAGAGTAAACAAGTCCAGAATTCTTAAGGAATTTATATACTGTCATAAGGATGCTATCGTGAGCTATCATGAAATCTATTTCCAATTCTCACTGACTATTGGATATATTAATGCTACTCTCAAACCGCACTTAAACATTCTTACGATCATGCGATCATAGAATTTGCATGCTTTACACTAATTACTCCTCTTTGAGTGAGAGAAAGACAGGGTAAAGTGTGCTGTAAAATTATCTCCATCGCTAGATCGATTGATTCAAGCATATCTGTGATTTTAGCAACACAATTTTGCACATTTTTATTTATTTATTTTATTTGTAACTATAAAAAATTTATATATACCAAATACGTACATAGGTATATAGTTTGAAGTATTTTATAATGAATTTTCAAAATACATTCGTAATTGAAGATGCGCAGAGAGAAATTTAAGCCAGCGAGCCAGTTTGTTACAAGGCTATGGAAGGACGAAAAACCAACCAATCGGCCGCTCCCGATAAATATTTATTAATAATTAAATAATAAATTATTCAAGTTAATTAAACTTAGCTTAAAAAGGATAACTTATTTTCGTAATTTGAACTGATTTTAAAATGGATTCTTAACTAAAACGTTAAAATACCATTTATTTATTCATTTATTTATTTATCTCATCATTGATATGGGTATTTTTAACTTAGACCTAACCTCTTCATTGAAAGGCATACATACCATTGCAATCTGGCCAATATGATTGATGCCTGCCTCAACCTGCTTTGCGAACCGAAAGTACAGTTTTGAAGAAGATCTTTCCCTCTCCAATCGAAACAAAAAAATGTTGTTTAATACTTAATATTTTAAATCTAATCAATTGAGAATATGCCTCTTATATCATCATAAAAATTGTTCCCGTAGCCTTAATCATAATGGGCTTTCGTTACTTCATAGCAAAAACAAAAGAAGGAAAATCAAGTTTTGCAAACAGTTTGCCCTCGCACGTCGACATCGTAGTTGTCAAGCACATAATTGTGAAATTATTTAGAAAACGCAGTTCAAGTTCATTCTTTTGTTCGAATAGTTCGAAATTTTGATTGCAATGCATACAATTATCGAAATCTCATACTGATAATAAGTTCTGCTTAAATCCAATGTTAGCCGTAAATTCTCCCAAAGAAGTAGATAACTTACACCTAAGCATAGGTATAGTAGCTATCACTATCGAGCTATTTACTTCATCTTATGATCAAGAAGTGAGCAAAAAGTATCAACTCGTTCATCATTATGTTGTACGCAAATTGAAATACAATTTACAAATGTCTTAGGATTTTGATATGCGTTTTGTTTTATCAACGGAAACAGAATCATTTTCGCAAATGGTAGTATACACTGTTACGTTTTAGCTCAAAGCCAACACTAGCCTGATGTAGAGAGTATCCGGTTATATAGTTTTCATTTGGATTTTTTTCATGCTTTCAATTCTTTTAATGCAAGGACAAAGACAAAGAGCAAATAAATTCCATATTTAGAGGAAGGAAAGCACTTGAGAGAGAGAGAGAGAGAGTTTTCCAAAACCAGAACATTTTCCGCTCGAATAGAAACAAGAGTTAAAGGCTTTCGTTCCGATTTCGAAAGCTTTTTAGATTAACTGCCGAACAATTTACTAAACATTGTTTTCATCCGCTCACTTTCCCCATTAAACGATTCGATATTTCTTCACGGATATTTCTTTTAACAAATTTTGTCTTTAACGAAAGTGAAACTTGATATACATTTTTAGTTGCTTTATGGAATTGAAATTTCGCACGCAATTTCACTGTTTTATTAATTGATAAAAGAAGTAAAGGCACTGTAGTGGGTCACGTTCACGGCCACGGCCACTGCCCTATATTAAGGTCACTCCGCCACAGCTACTCATATAACAATATTTTAAAGGTAAGCTATGGTCCGATCTCAACCATTCGTTCTTAGGCCAAAATATAGCGGTTTACCAAATTGCATCAAAATATATCAAAAATTGCGATCTATAGGCGGACCACAAGAAAACAAGATAGACAGACGAACAGAAAATCTTAAATCGATTCAAAAAAAAGTGCTCCCGAATTCATCGATATAATCTATCTCTAAATCGTTCTGGGTGTTATATACAATCGTATCGTATTAATTTATCCTTGCGTCGCGAGTGACGCAGCGAACGAATATGAGATTTGAGTATTTAAGTGGATAATAGATTTCCTAAAGAAGGAAAAACCCAATGCACATTCGCATCCGCGTCATGCAGGTGCAGGCCGATGAAAACGATTGGCGGGAAAAACAGACAGGGATTAAGTATAAAATGAAGTTTATATGAATTTGGGTATAGTGATATGCTTGTAAAAATGTATATAAATAAAATACTTGTGGAAGGGAGAGAGTTAGTCGGGCAAAAACAGAATAAAAGTTGAGAGTACGGCCAAAATAAATTGTGAATAATCCTACATTAAAGGAACATAATTGTAATTAAAAGAACTTTGAAGTGTATTTCTCTTAAACAAAATATCCATGATCTAGTTATCTGATCGGATTGTATCTTAGAAAAGTGAATTTTATAACAATACATATGTATATTTGTATAGAACTTTTTAGATATTTAGAGATTTGTACTCATAGGGTAGAAATAATATAATAATAATAATAATAATAATAATAATAATAATAATAAGAGAAAATAAGTTGAAATGTCGTTAATAGATATATAACACATATTATCTTGTCTCAATTAAGAGGCATTTAGAGAAATTTCAATCCTGAAGGAAAACCGATGTGAAAACATCTTCAACTTTTATCGGATTTTATCTGCCGCATTCTGACTCGTTCACTGAATTTAATACTAATCTCAAATTACTAATCACTAGCGCATCCGTTCACAATGCATCCAATATTTTATTTTAATTGACTTCACAGAAATTCCGTACCGTATCATAAAGTATTCTCCTTTAGATATTGATCAACATTGCTCGATTCTCTATTAGGATTATTTCATAAAATGTTGCTTACCGTTAGTACTACTCTCCTTTTCCAAATTTTATTTTACAAAATTCAAAAATTAAAAATTTTTTATACCCATCGCCGAAGGATGAACGGTACATTGACTTTATCAAGACGTTTGCAACGCCCAGAAGGAAGCATCAGCCACCCCACAAAGTATCTATATTCTTGATCAGTATCAAATACTTAATCGATTTAAACATGTCGAATTGTCCATCTGCCCGTCTGTCCGTCGGCGTAATGTCTATTGTAAACATTCCCCTTCCTTTTGTTAGCTGGTATCGTTATATCCTACTTCGCTTGTCATACAAGGGTATATTAAGTTTGTGCAAATGTAAAGAACTACTTAAAATAGATCCATCAATTGCTTGAGAATCAGCTTGCCCATCCGTCTATCCGTCTGGTATGCTTGCGTTTAACTTACACGTCGCACTTTTCGATATGTTTTGATGAAATTTGGTACATCGACGTTTTTTACTCCAAGAATGGATGTTATTGAGAATAGTTACTGATCGGGTTGCTTCTTCGATTAAGCGTTATGCTGATAGGTCATTATTTATATAAATAAACAAGTGTATTAAATGAAGTGTTTGTGGTGTGCCGTGTTCAATTATAATGTTGTTACTTAGTTTTTACTTTAAAATGTTTATTAAAAATAATACAAATCTTTTCTCAGGACCAAGCACTACGATATACATAGATGGTAAAACACAAAAGGTGCATTATAAACAGAAAATTGATTCTTTTAGGGTAATTCGAAGGTGTAAATTTTGAGCAGACATCGCATAACTAAACCTCTCTTGCGCTGTATATATGTAATCGCAAACTATTAACAACTTACTTACCTTAATAAGTTTTTCAAATAATAAAATTTTCGATACGTTTTTCAGGTTTGGCTTCCTCAACTACGCAATTAACTCAACTTAGTGAGGATATATTAAATAATCATCGCCATTTAGCTCAAAATCTTAAAGCCGATCATTTAGAGGAAATACTCACTTATGTAGTAAATCGCTTACTTAAAGATTATCCTTTGCTGAAAAAAAGTAATGAAAATCTTTGCACTAGCAATGACGGCATCAGTACAACAGAAAATAATGTAAATGCGATTCATAATTGTACCAGTAATAGTGCTAATGTCGATATTATATTACCGCCAGCAATACACCTAAAAGTGTTCTATCAAGTAAATGCGGCACCGTCGGTCGATTTATTGCTAATGGCATTGAACGAATTTCGTGAGAAATGCGAACAGACGGCGAATATCGTGTTCACTGTATTGCCCGCTTGCAGCTTACATAATTTCAGTACATTTCTCTCGATATGCGGTGTAAGGCATGAGTAAAATGAAACTAAGAAACAGATATACACATGCACATCTTCTTTTTTAACTAAAAAAATTATGAAACAGAAATCTTATAAAATAAAACGCTTCGGACCAAAAACCATAAGAAATAAAAACCTATTTGCAAGCGCTTTTTTCGCGAATTTATTATAAACAAAAACAAAAAAAAAAAACATTTTTTTTGAAGCTCAGTCAAAACTAAGAAAAATTTGTAAATATATGAAAAATGAATTTTTTTTTTATTTTTTTTTTTTTATTTTTTGCTAATTTGCCATAAATTTTTCCAAAAACCTCCTTTTTCTACTCTAAATGTTCACACACACACATGTAAGCCTATGCACTCCCGCCTTTGAATAACTTCACACAATTTGATCAATTTAATCTTTGAATATATATTTTTATGCTGCACTTTAATAATTTAAGTCTAAGAAGAACAAGAAGAAGAAGAAGAAA